CATTATACCTACAGAAAAACTGATTGTTTAATATTTTAAAAATACAATGGTGACCAGGCTATGCATTCATATTTTTCTAATTTCATTCTGAAATGTTATTCACGTTCAAGTTCAAGTTGTAAAATCCTAAATTGACTAGAACCAAGACAGCTTGTAGATGGCAATACACATGGGGGGGGGGGGGGTCCAATACATGAAAAAGAAAACAATTAAGGTCAAGGTAACCATATCCCCTATCCTTCCAAGACCCCACCATAAATCACAAGCACTCAAAATATGTAAGAGGCTAAACCAATCACTGACAGATAATGGTCTAAATATGATAGATTATAGAATTTAGAATTCATTAAGGCACAGCCACTGTGCTATCAGGGCATGGCCAGACTACAATTATACAAACTACATTTATACAATTATATACATAAATCTACAAAGATATGTGTTGTGTTGCCACATTAAAGACAGGTGTACTTTTTGAGCTTCACTTAACCTAAAAGAAAACATCAGCTATAAAATCTCCAAGGCACGTTGTTATTTTTAGAGTACAGAGTGCTGGTTGCTATGGTAATATACTATAGTAACCTTACCTTCATCTCCTTATTTGGCAGAAGGTGAGGGGTTAGGAGTAATCTATTCCAGCACCTGTGAACGTGATATGATACATCTGCCATTATGCCACGCATCTGAAAGAAAAAATATATTTTTTCTGTGTTTATTTACATTTTCGAAATGGCCCAAAAATTTCCAATAATTGAAAAATGTATACTTTTCTTTTCTCCCTCTATTGACCCCCCGACTCATAGGTTCTGTTAATATTACTTTATTCCTCAGGGGAGGGGTTCAGGAGTGCCAAGAGCAACATTTTGACTAAAAACATTGCAAACTTATTTATCCCTATGAACAAAGGATAAGAGAGCTGTCTCCCTAAATTATGATACCTGATCATGAATGGGAGGATTTGAGGATTTATGTTGAATGGTTAAATGGTTAAATCCATTTCATGGTAAATAAAGTACGAACTGTTTCGAGTAAAAAACCTGTGAAATTGTATTTTTTCAAAAGTTATATTCAACTCATTAAATCGTTGGTGCCCCTTTAAACAAACATTGGATGTAAAACCATAAAGAACAAGTGAATAAATATGTATTTATAAATATATATAATAAATACAAGGCATTAACATGCAAATTGTCACCACCTGCCATTTGTTACAAATGGCAAATGCCAACTGGCTTCACAAAAATGGAGACTATAACAATATGTCACTACATAATAATCTGTAGTGGAACACCTCTGTAAATATAACATCAACTTCTAGAAGTAGAACACTGAGAAGTGTGAGATTTATCTAATGCTAAATGAACTTCTGTTTTGTGGAACACCTTCAAGTAGAACACTTTTAAGGTACGGAAGTTGTTCTGAATACAAAGGCTTTACTGTATATATTGAATATTGCATAAAGTCTATGTCCACTATCATCGCCCCCCCCCCCCCCCTGACGTCAATTTAATTATCATCAAGTAATATATATCTGACTAAGAATTTGACACAAGAATCTGAACCAAATATAATTAAAATTTTATATGATATAAGTAAAATATAAGTATTAGAAGTAAGACAAATAGGAACACCTACCATATAATCTACATCCCAGACAGACAAAATAGCTGCAAGCTTTACATCTCAGCATTCCATCAGTCGGCCATCTTTGTTAGATGTTGTGTTTTTAGACCTCGTCATTCTCTCAGATACACACATCATTTAGTCCAGTGTGTCTGTCTATTAGATGATATTTGTTTTTTCTCAGTATATGCATCCTTAAACTTCTAATCGATCATATTCAGCCTCAAAATGTCTGCATATTGCAAGAGCAAATTACGCAGTTTCATTATCTACTTTATGCAGCAGGTTCACTACAGAAGGATATTGATTTTTCGTCTCATTTTTTGGATTTTCTCAAATGAGACCTAATGCTAAATAACACATTGTGTTAGTATCCAGTATTATTTCTCCATTGAATTCATGTAATTTTGTTGAATTTCTAGAGCCTACTTTACTGTATGATTCCATTCCATTTACAGTGTAAGATACACAGCCTCCAGAATGTTGCAGGATGCAGCTCTTTCTGCTTGCTGCTGCGGAAAATAGCTCCTTGATGATTAACATAAGATGTCAGTGTGTTATTTTAGGCAGTTTAGTCTACTATAGTGGTCCCGGATTGAAGATAACCCAGCTATTTCTCTACTAAATTACTGCATATAATGGTGTCAAATTATTAATTAACAGTCATGGAAACACCCAAATTAATATGGTTTGACCCCCCCCCCCCTACATTCTCATACAACAAACTGTTAAAATGTTGATTTGTAATTTACTTGCTTTAAAAAATGAACATCGTTATTCCACAATTGTTGATAATATGTAGTATATGGTAGTCTAGTGTTAAACCATATATACTCTTTTCATGTATTACACTTTCTTTGTACCTGACCCTCAGGGGTGTGAATGTACTCAATAAATATTCTATTCATGTGCATGTGATTCAGTTCAGTAAATCCCATCATTTTAGAATCCCAATAATAACATGCCTATACCCCTTGTGAGTTGTTAGATCCAACATGTGTTCAGCAAAAGCCACATGGGAAATAGCCTCTCTTGGATATCTTATCTATCAGGAGCAAACATTCAAGATGTTTTTAACTACTGAAATACAGACAAGAAAAATGAACTAAATAGATTACCATCCTGTTAAACCAGTGTATTCCTTCAGTCATGTAATACTTTCATAGATCAAGATGGTAAACTACACTTTTTAATATTCTTACGAGCATGTATCCTCTTAATCTCAATTTCTTGAATAAACAAGTAAAAGACTAAAATGCACATTTTTCTTCATAAATCTACCATTTCATCAAAAGCAATACCATTGCTAGATATGGCTCAATAGCAAAACTAACTCATCAAAAATCTAAAATTGTAATTTAACATGAAAACAGGATCAAAAGGTACCCTACCTGAGCGGAGGTTACTGTTCCAACATAAAAAATAGAGTGGGGGGGGGGGGGGTGGAGCAACTGAAACTGAAACAGAATCTTGACAATTGTGTGAGTGATGTTAAAACAATAATATACAACAGTTTAATGATTTGAAAAGGGCCCCTAAAACCAAAGACTGGACCCAAATTTTGAAAATTTAAGGCCTGTTCATTAAGGCCCAGTAATGCTCACCCCCCCCCCCCCCCTTTCCAGATCAGCCAGTAGGTAAAGATTGATTGCTATCAAATGTCTTGGTTTCATACTCAATATTATAAAATGTAAAGTATAACCAATATCTGGTTCAATTTCTAGCCAAAGATATGCCCCTACCTCAATAATTAAATGCTAAACAGTGAGACTTCCTACAGTACCTCAGACCTTTTAATAGTTAAATTATCACTCTCCTGAGTTAAAATCAGACAGAGAAAGAAAGTGTGCCTCAATGTTTAAGGAGATCCATATGTAGAACTGTGAATATAAATTAATATGAAATTGGGTACAATATTAACTCAACTTCAAGTCAAAGACCGGCTATCAGCCAATTCATAAAATAATCATGTCATCTGGATCATATCCATCCTTCAAGATTGGTCCTTCACTGCTTTGCTTTCATAGCAGATCAATGTAATGCAATGAATTACTCTTGGGCCAAGGATGGATCATTTCTAACTGACTTGAGTTACAATTTGAGATTGATTCAATAATACTTTTTGTTCCTTTTTTAGAGTTAGAAAAAATTGTCAATGAGTTTTGCTTAATAATAAGTTGAAACTGCAGTTAGCAGGTGCTGCAGATTTATGAAAGGTTTCTGAAAATCTTTAATTAGATCCTTGAGTTTAGATTATGATTTAGATATGATAATTATGAGATTAGATGTGTTATTTTTGAGTTTAGATGTGGACATTATTTTGAGTTGAAATATGATAATTTTGAGTTTAGATGTGATATTTTTTAAATGTATGTGTAATATATATGCAATATATGTTGCAAACAAGGCATTAACATGCAAAATGTCACCACTATTTGTTACAGACGCAAACCACTGATCACCAACTGCAGTCACAAAAAAACAGAGACCATAACAATGTCACCACTTTTTGTTGGTGACATAAAAAATTATAGATTTCCATCATTGAACTTAACAAATAAAAAAAAATCAAAGTGATTATGGAATACACACTGTTCAACAGTTGGATGACTCTAACTGCAGTTAGCTTCATTCAAGATGGTTGCCAATATTTTTTTGTTTTCGATAAACAATGATTTCAACTAAACTAAAGTTGAGTCTGGATTCCTAATGTTTTGCATGTAAATTAATAAAGCTAAGATAAATAACCACAAATAAATGCTCAAACACCCGCGATATTGGAGAATTTTTTAAAAAATGGCTTCACTTAGAATGACTCTAACTGAAGTTGATGATGACGTAATGATGATGCAGATCTTCTGAAAATAACCAAGCTCCTATAATAAGGCACCTACTACCCAACCAGTATTGAGTGCATAGGGAGAGACGGCATATTTACTACAGTATATTATAAAGCTTTACATGCTACAGTGCTCTCCCATGGAATGTTTGCTTTGAGGATTTTCTTAATTTTTAGTGTAACATCTTTGAATTGGTGTCACCTTTGACTACTTTTTGTGCAACATTTTATGATTTTGCAATTTTTGAGCAATATTTTATGATTTGGTAATTTTTTGTGCAATATTTTAGGATTACCTTAATTATATTATATAATCAAAGGAAGGGGCACATTGATTTTATTGAGGAGAATTTTGATGACTAAAAACATTGGGGTGCTTCGGTGATTTCAATATGTTTAATCTCGGAGCCTACTCTCAACATGTGGGTACAGGTATATTCTAAAGAACCACAGTTATTGTGAGGAGAACAGACCTCAGACTAAGATGAAATAAATTAATAATTAAAATCACTTCTTACATTTTTTTATTTCTTAAATTTTCTATTCATTCATCTTTCATATAAATCTCCTTTCTATGATTCATCTATGTTCCATTTTGAGGGTCTAGTTCTTATTCTTTTTCTTCTTCACTTTCTTGATTTTCTTAGGACCAGTATTTACTCTCTTAATATTCACATCTTTATAAAGTTCACCAGTATCAATTTTGCGTTTTTCTGCTTTGATTTCTGGTTTGATTCTTACTTTTTCGATTTCTTTATCCGAATCTGAATCGCTAAAATCAGATGGAATATAGTCAGCCTCATTTTTACTTGATCTCCCATCCAAACTTAAAAAATCTCCTAGAGTTCCTAATCCTTGCGCCAATTTTTCCTTATAAATATAGAGATAATCGTAATTTTTATTTGGTTCACTGGCACTTGGAATTGAAGTCAATCCTGATTTATGTTGAATTCCTGTTGCTTTAGCAACTACTGGTTTTGCCTCCACTTTGATAGAAGCTTTTTGTTTTGTATCATTGTTATCGGTATGAGACACCAATCCAACATTTTTTATATTGGTAGGTTTGTTAATCGAAACTTCAGAGTTTGTGTCCATATGTTCATTCCAAATGTCAGTGATAGGTGGTGCTACTGATTTTTTTTTTTTTTTTTTTTTTATTAAAATATTTATTCAAAAAACATAAACACAAAATACATAAACACAAACAATACTTAAATCAATAAAACTATGCACAAACGGAAATATACATATATCCTGGATTAGAATTTATACAATAGTAAAATAGGATTTTCACAGCATTATATACTCTATCAAAATTTTGATCCTTATACAATAGTAAAATTCCAGAAAATCCATTCAATCTTAGTAAGCAGCAAAGGCATTTATAATTTTCTTAAAATCATGAGCAATATTTACTTTTCCTTGCAATTTAAAAATGTGTTCATAAATATTTAATTTAGATGCTATTTTCGATTTAAAATTTGCTTGTTTATATTGAGTTGGATTATCTGAGTTTTTTGTCCAAATTTCATGAATACATTTCATCAATATTGTGTAAAGCAACATTCTAAATTCTAATTTGCTGTTCATGCTTTGGTACCCCAGAAGTATATTTTTCCAAGTAATATCCACCTTTAGTGTTTCACTTAGAATATTCCATAGATTTTTAATTAACACACAATCATATAATAAATGTCTAATGTCTTGTACAACATTACACTCACTACATTCTTTTGGTACATTCATATTCCACTTATTTACCAGTTTTCCGCAGGCTAAGAAATTATGTAATAGTTTAAAATTAAATTCTGATAACTTTTGGCATTCAATATCTTTTATCTTGTTTTTGTATATATTTCTAAAAGTGATTCTATCGTTCTGAATATTGAAGGATTTTGTCCAATCTGCTTCCATCTTTGGTCTAATAAATTTATCTTTCAATAGGATTTTATAAAAGAACTTTGAACTTAATTTCTCAAGGTTTTCATATTTGTCATTTCTAAATAGGAAAGAGTTTGAATGCCTTTTGTTAGCATATTTCATACTTTGTTTACTCTCATATTTTATATTGTGCAAAACAAGTCTAATTCTTAAAAATTCGGTCATCCAATTTTGCTTATTCTTTAATCTTAACAAAACAGTTTTCTCATCAATGAGATTATTTCTCTCGTCAAAAAAGTCCTTGACATAAATAAAACCTGCATTTATCCAATTTTTCATGTACAAAGTAGTTTTCCTACATAAAAACCGTTTGTTTAGCCATAAAACTTCTGTTCCAGGATGTTTATTTTTCTCTATTTCCTTACATCTATTGTATGCACAAAAGACATGTTTGTAGAACTTATAGTGATCTAAAATCTTAACATTTTCGTCAAAATTTGTTTTGTAAAAATCGTTTATTGTAAAACCAAGCTTATTTATGATAAATTCTGGAATTATTTTAACCGATGTGTTTGTTGTTTTAATACGAGGTGCCCATGCAGCTTTTAAGGCATCAATTTTACATTGAATGTCTACCAGATTAATCCCCCCATCAAGTATATTTCCAATTAAAGTATTTCGTTTTATCCAATCCTTTTTCCATAGAAAACCGAAAATAATTTTATTGATTCTTTTAACAATATCATCGGGTACATCTAGAATACTTAAATTGTATACTAATTTTGAAATTCCAAGAGTGTTAATCACATGTGCTTTTCCAAAGAGGGTCAGTTTTCTTTTTTTCCATGATTCAAAGAGTTTTTCAAAATTGTTGATCTTGTTGTCCCAGTTTTTTTCTTTGCACAAAGTTTTGTCATTTCCAATAAATATTCCCAGACATTTTACAGGTTCTACTCCAAAATGAATATTTTCATATTGATGTCCATTACCTTTTAAGTTACCTAACCATATTCCCTCCGTTTTGCCCATATTTAAATTAAGTCCAGATATTTCAGAAAAATTATTTATTTCTTTAAGTGCTTCGCGAATAGATTCTTTAGTTGACAATGTGAGGGTGGTATCATCTGCATGTTGAATTACTTTTATTTCTTTTTTGTCAATTTTAATTCCTTTAATTTTGTCATTTTTTCTCAGCTTATTTGCCATTATTTCAGTACATATTATGAAAATCAAAGCAGATGCCGGACATCCCTGCCGTATACCTTTTTTTATTTTTACTTCATTAGAGATATGCCCATTGTTTTTGATTTTAAGTTTTGGATCATTATAAAGAGCTTTTATCCATTTTATAAAATTTTTGCCAAAGTTCAGTGTTTCTAGTACCTTGAACATGAATGCCCAATTAATACTATCAAATGCCTTTTTAAAATCTAAACACAAAAGCAATGCATCTATATTTTCATAGTTAGAGTAATCAATTAGATCTAACAAAAGTCTGGCATTATTTCCTATATATCTGCCTTTTATGTATGAGGATTGGTCTTTATGAACAAGTTTAGGTAAAACACTATGTAGTCTATTCGCTAAAGTAAAAGTCAAAATCTTATAATCGTAATTGCTTAAGCTTATTGGTCGATAGTTGTCCAAAAATTCCCTATTGCCCTTTTTGAAAATAAGAGATAAAATTGAAATTTTCTGTGATTCACTTAATTCACCAAATTCAAAAACTTCATTTATCATTGCTAAATAGTTATCTTCTAAGTAATGCCAAAAGGTTTTGTAAAATTCTGGTATCAGCCCATCAGTACCAGGGCTTTTTCCATCTTTTAAATTTTGAACTACTTTCTGAAGTTCATTTTTTGAAATTTCTGCTTCAAAATAGTCTTTTTCTTTTTGATCTAAAGTGTAATCTAATTTGACCTCTTTCAAGTAATCATTTATCTTGTTTTCGTCAATCTCATCATCATTATAGAGACTACTATAGAATAATTCTGCTTGTTCTAAGATTTCTTCATCTTTATAAAATGTACCATGTTTATTAGTTATTTTTCTAATGACATTTTCAGATTGTCTGTTAGATTCTAATCCCAGGAAATATTTAGTGTTTTTTTCTCCTTGTTCAATAAATCTCGATTTTGATCTGATAAAATGGCCATATATTTCTTTTTCATATAGCATATTCAATTGTGATTCTAACTCAATTTTTGTTATTTCAGCTTTTTTACGCACTTTTTCACTTTTGCAAATTTCAATATATTCATTGATATCATCAAGTTCTTTCTGCGTTTTAATTAAAAGATTTCTTTTTTTCTTTGCTAAATTAACAGCAAAACCAACAGATATTTTCTTAATTTTAGATTTAAGGATTTCCCAAAGTACTCTTTTAGATTTAATATATGAATATTGGTTATTTACCCATGTAATACATTGTTGAATTTTCTTTTGAAAGTTCTCATCTTTTAGATGTTCCCCATTTAACTTCCAATACCCCTTCCCTCTTTTATTCATTGTTAAAACAACATCAATTAAAATAGCCTTGTGGTCCCTATCGAGCGCTTGCATTAAGTATACCTTTTTCATATCCCACATAGGATTCTTGGATACAAAAATATAGTCTATTCTGCTCATGGATCTTGTATGTTTATCAAAAAAAGTAAATCCATCTTTCTCACCTTTTAGTATTCTCCATGTATCTTTTAATTCAAAATTCGCAATAATGTTTTTCAATGCAGATTGACTTTTATCTGTATAATGCTTCACTTTGGTTTTCCTGTCTTTATCAGATATAATACAGTTAAAATCTCCAGTCAAAAACATATTATTTACATTTTTTGCATGGTCATATATCCAATCATTCAAGCCTTCAAAAAAATTACCTCTATCATTAACATTATTTGGTGCATATATATTTACAACTGTTACATCTACTCCATTGATTTTACAATTAATTAAAATCTTCCTACCTAAATTATCTGTAATAATATTATATATCTCATAATCTATAGTCTTAGAGAATAGTAAAGATACCCCTCTAGAGTGTGATGAATCCGTTAAACAATGATATCCATCGAAATCAAAATTTCTACATGTTTCATCAATTTTTGATTGTCCTTTAATTGTACAAAATGTTTCTTGTAATGCCACAATACTAGGTTTCTGATTTTTAAGCCATAAAAGTATCTTGTTACGTTTTCTCATGTCATTTAGACCTCTTACATTGAGGCTCAGTAATCGTATTTTACCATTCATTCATTAAATAAAAAACTATTAAAACAAATATGTACATGAAATAGTCAAAACATTTTCAGTGACTGTGTTCATTCATTTTCTTCCACAATGTTACTATATAGTGCCTTCTTTGGTTCATTTTCAATTGTTCCTGGCGTTGATCCATCAGAACCTCTAGTTTTCCTCTTGTTCCTTGGAGTTGCCACTGAGTTGATGTGGTTAGCTACCTTATTATATCCATGTGGACTAAGGTGCACCCCTTTCACATCATTTTCTTTAAAGTCACTTTTGGATGTTTTTCCTTGGTTGCTTAGCAGCATTGCATCGTTATTTACAAACACAAGGAAATCTTCTCGTCTACACATCATATTCAACTGCTTATTCATAGTATCAATCTTTCCTTGTATCTTTTTATCATATGGGTGTACAGGGGTTATGCTGCTAATGACAATTGAAGCCTGGGGGTGTCGTAAGTGTAATGACTTGACACAAGATTCATATTTCACAAGACATGACTCAACCCTCTCATTATCGTATACCAGGTTTTTTGTTCCTGCTTGTATTATGATCTTTTCTAGGCACTGATTATCGATTTTGTCTCTTTTCATTAGAATATCTATATCTTCGATTCCAGCACCACTTTTGGTTTTCTCACTGACACCTTCTCTTTTCATTGAAGTATATATACCCTTTGCTATAGAGCAACCAGTTATTATTGTATCTATTTGTGGGCTGTCACTTGACTTAATGCTTTTATCACTCGCTTTGGTATTTTTCTGCTCATCTTCTGTCATGATTGTTTTTGAGGCATTCAAAGGTGCAGGGCAGTCATTCCCTCGGTGACCTTGACCTTTGCATTTGTGACAGACTGGTTCTAAGGTGCACGTCTTGGCAAAATGCCCAGGCTGCTGACAGTTAAAACATACTGGTTTTCTACGCTTGTCACATCTATAGTCCGGATGTCCGACCTCGTTACAAATTCCACATGGTTGTCCTCTGTAGCTGAGTCGACCCATGAAACCAGCAATAGTTGGATTGTTAGGAATTGGTCTCATGATCTCAGTCACATGAATAAAACGCACTCCATCTTTTATTCGAGTCCTTTCACCACTGGTATTTTTAACATATCCATGATAGATATTTCCTGTCACCTTGGCAAATTGTGCTATATATGCATTTATCACTTCATCATTCACTTGTATAGGAATATCTCTAAGTGTTATTTTCATGTTATCATTTTCATCTTCTAAAAGTTCTACGTAAAGTCCATTTATATGTATTCCAAATTTCTTTGCTTGAGATTTTGCAGTTTGAGACGCAAAAGTTATATGGACATCCCTTCGGGATATTTGTATGGCAATTAAATCATCTTCATGCACATTTTCCAATAGACTGTTAAGTATTGTAGTTTCATTTGACCAGCCGGTATCTCTGTGACTGCATTTCAGAGTCATATCTCTCATTATTTTCAAATCCATTCTTGTCCCTTTTCGAATAAGCCCTTTGGAGGCCTCACTAATATTGAGCAGTGCTAAGATCTTGCATTTATTGGTATAATCCCCACTTATATACTATTTTTATGTGGCCTACTTAAATGTATGTGTGCACTGTTTATCACAATTTCAATGAAATGGCAAAATCTTTCTCACCTATTTCCACTGGTTTATCATATAAATACCTCTGGTTTTTAGCACATTGTGTTCCTCTTCTATTCATAAAAATCCTAGAGAACTTTCAAGGTATAGTTCTTCCTAAATTTTGATTTATTTACAATATTTACTCTGCTGTATTTTTCCATGTATTTACTAATATTGAGGCTCCCAACCCCTACTACCTGCTACTGATTTGATAAAGTCTATCAATGCGATAAAGGGACTATCACTCGCAATGATTTCCTGAAATGAAAGAACTTATGTAAATATGCATAATTACAGAAAATTAAGCAAAAAAGCTATGCAATAAAAGAAGTAAGCAAATACCATCAACTCAAGCCCTTTACAGGCCCCATGTTTTGATTGGTTGAAAATGTCATGCAAGCTGGAAGAACACAAAAGGCATTAAAATGCAAAATGTTACCACATGCCATTTGTTACAGATGCTGACCACAAACAACCAACTGCTTACTCCAACCAATGAACAATGTCCACAAACAAAAAAGTTGGGGACTATAACAATATGTCACTACTTCTGGTAGAAACTTGAAGAGACAATAGTGATTTTGAAATAGCACTGGATATATTAGACTACAAATATCACCATTTAGCAGCCCAACCCTGAACTTCTCCACAAATTGAACATTTTCAGAGTCTCATGAGGAAAACCTCCCAAAAGGAATACTTTTCAGAGATACCAAAAGTGTTTCACTTACACGAGTTTTGCCGAAATTTAAAAATGACTTACCTTAAACCCTATAACAGCCACTGATTTCATGTATACAAGGGGTCCTAACGTGCAGCTAAAGTTCGCCACTTTTACGGCAGGACATTTCCTAGAGCTACAGAGACCCCTGAAGTGTTTCAAAATTATTGGGGTACTGTTGTATGTGTCAGCACATATTATAACTAGTTGGAGGAGTCCTTTTTCAAGGTGGCGGGTCACAGCGTTTATCCCAGTTACAAATTGTCCTCTGAAAATAAAACATTTTCCTATATAAGCCACCAAGGTAACATTGATTTTTATTAGGCAATCCTGACGCAATGTCTTGATTCAAACGGCAATGGTATGATTCAAAAGGCAATAACATGATGCAAAAGGCAATATTATGATTTAAAAGGCAATATTATGATTCAAAAAGCAATATTTTGATTCAATCTGCAATATCAGGATTCAAAAGGCAATATTATGATTCAAAAGGCAATATTATGATTCAAAAAGCAATATTTTGATTCAAAAGGCAATATTATGATTCAAAAGGCAATATTATGATTCAAAAAGCAATATTTTGATTCAAACTGCAATATTTTGATTCAAAAGGCAATATTATGATTCAAAAGGCAATATTTTGATTCAAAAGGCAATATTTTGATTCAAAAGGCAATATAATGATTCAAAAGGCAATATTATGATTCAAAAAGCAATATTTTGATTCAAACTGCAATATTTTGATTCAAAAGGCAATATCATGAATCAAAGGGCAATGTCATAATTCAAAAGGCAATGTCAGGATTCAATTATGGCCCAACCATAATTCCTTATGTATTTTAAGGTTCTCTATTGAGATTCATTCATAAAGCATCAACATGATTCACAATGCAAATTATATCACTGTTTGATTTATATTACATTAACATTTATCATGGTAAGATATACTGGCTAGGAGAGAGCATGATGTGTATGTCAAAATCCTTCATGTTTAACACAGAAAGTCTGGAGCCTTTTAGCCTACTTTTTAGCTATGATACATGAAAGCTCACACAGGGCTATCATATAATACTGCAATTTGAAGTTGGCCAACCTTCTGTGTATGTATATCAAAGATACCTAAAATCAGAAGACAGAAATAGAAATTCCAGAGAAGATACAGTAGGAACAAGAGGTACTCTGCAAAAGAGCTTTTCATTCTCAACACTCTTAAAATTGACACAATCATTTGATGCAACCTGTATATATAATGAGCATATACAAGTTCTCTCAGAATATCACAATCAAAGTCCATTAAAGACCATGAAGCTTAATTTGAGATTATTAAGATTCTACCTGTATGAAAACACTAAAATCACTTGTAAAAGTTAGAGGGGAGAATAGCTGGCAGATGGGGTTTAAGGGTGAAATATATACTGATGAAGGCATATTAAACATGTCTAACAGAAGTGAAACAGCAAGATATAAAACAAGGGGGGGGGGGGCATTTTCATTTTTAGAGTTAGAAAGTTAGAAAGAGTGGAATTAGTAAGGAACAAAGTAAATCGACATATTGCCAACACTCTTGATTATAAAGAACAGCTAAAAAATTAGTCTAGCTACAATCCCTTGTGATCCTCCTCCCCCTTTGCTACACACCTCTCCACAAGATGTGTTGGTGAAGTAGAAAGAGGGGTCCACAGTCTTGGAGCAGGACTACCAAAAGATCAGATACTTCATTCAAATTTTAGAGAGGAAAAAAGCAAAATAAGTATGCAGTGTTCTCCACAGGATTTTTCTCAAGTGGGTGCAAAATTCTCATTTTCACAATTCAGACCCATGAGGAGGGTGCAAGCCTGTTTTTAAAATCTCAGGTGGGTTCTGCACCCACTTGCTAAATAATGCTTGGGAGATCGGGAGTACAGTATGAGCCATGAGAATCTGAAGATATTGTTGTACCTTAACTGGCGCTGTTCTGTCGTCCATTCTCTTATTTTGTATAATTTCTGTCTTGTCTTTTCCTGTTTCTTCTTACTGTTTTTCTTTACTTTAATATCCCTTAATTCTCTTTTGATGACAGGTTCACCCAGCTTTAGCTTTTCAAATGTGCTGAAAATAAATTAAATTTTGCTTTGTTTTGTCATTCCTATTTTGTTTTATTCTTCTCCATTATTCTTCATTTAATACTTTATTTCTTTTGAGGGTTATAGATACATCACAGGATGTCCTCTACCAATTTGATCAATTGACTAAATCCTTTGATGACATCCCCTGTACATGTAGGATATTAAAAGTGTTTAATTGAGAGAGGCACTCACTTATTCATGCTTAATTTCAAGAAGTGATGGCTAACAATGACTGATGGCTAACACTGAGTGAATTAGGCTAACAATGACTGATGGCTAACAATGAGTGGTGGCTCATAATAAGTGATGGCTAACAATGACTGATGGCTAACTTTGAGTGATGGCTAGCAATGACTGATGGCTAGCAATGAGTGATGGCTAGCAATGAGTGATGGCTAGCAATGAGTGATGGCTAGCAATAAGTGATCGCTAACAATAAATAATGGCTAATAATGAGTAATGGCTAATAATAAGTGATGGCTAACAATGAGTGGTGGCTAATAATAAGTAATGGCTAATAATGAGTGGTGGCTAATAATAAGTGATGGCTAATAATGAGTGGTGGCTAGCAATAAGTGATGGCTAATTATAAGTGATGACTAGCAATAAGTGATGGCTAACTCTGAGTGAAGGCTAACAATGATGGCTAGCAACAAGTGATGGCTAACAATGAGTGATGGCTAACAATAAGTGATGTCCTACAATAAGTGCTGGTAATATGTGTTACCTTTTCATTTTTTGCAGTATTTCTTCCTGTACTTGATCATCCAGAGGAGACCTGAAACAATGAGACAAAACAAAGATAACTAAAGGCATGCCAGTGATGCATATCCGGGTCTCAATATGAAATTATCAGGGTGTGTTTGTATTTCCTCACCTTTCCTCTCTGATGAGAAGTGTAGGGAAGGGTTGTTCTCAGATATATCCTTAGGTTCTGATCGATACTGTATTTCTTCTTTAGTTTTCTGCAAATTTTCAAATGCCTTCTCAATCATATTTTTCTTGCCTTTGAATCCAGACCAAGATCACAATCCATAACATGGAAGCACCCCTTAATCATCAAGGTCACTGAAAATGACTATTGCATGATCCAAAGTACTGATCTTGCTGGGGGTTTACACTTGATATCACATGAGACAAGTTATTACAATATAGATCGATATGGATCATGGGCATAGTCAGGGGGAGTGTGATGGGTGCAATCCCCACCCCCGCCCCCGCAAAAAAATAAATTTTGTAAAATTTCTAGGAAAAGCATTAATATATCAAAAAATAATGGTTTGAAATGCTTAGAATGCAGCATATAAATGTTGATTTCAAATATTTCCGGGGATGAACCACCATATACTGTACACCTCTTTTTAGAGCTCATTTCACTCACAGTGAAGCAAACACCAAAAATTATATTTTAATATATTTTTGACCTTTTGTAGCGGAGAGAATAAATAGAAAATTTTCCGAAATATAGAGAACAGAGTCAAGGTACGTATCCACTTACATTACATGTGCATAGCGCCCAGCCTGGTACAAACAGGCATACCAGATGGTAGTCATATAAATCCGACCGTTGTATGCTGTTCTTCGATATTCCTTGTTCCTATTTGGATATTTATTTTTTATCATTTTCTTAGCATATACGGTCGTAGATATTATTGCTGACAAATTGCGGTAAACGCTTTTCTGGCCTGTCTTGGTAACCATAGTTACCATACTAACCAAAGTCACACAAATTATCGAGTAATTATTTAGCCCCAACATCAAAGTGTTAAATCTTACCTTAGACATGTAAAACGCTTGATAATTGACGAAATATAATCAATTGAATTATATTTTCATTATCGCCCGCCATGTTGCTAAATGTTGTTTCCGGTAGTCTAAATGTAAAACATGCAACGAAACGGAATCATAATTATTTATTACACAGAGATCGATTCCAAAGCCGTTCTCTCATACTTATTACTTTTCTCATTTTAAAACAATAACTTTTCTAAATAACTTCCCTTCTTAACGACACTGCTTCCCTTTCAACTGAATCTTCGTGTAACAAGTACTTATGATTTCGTTTGATATAGTTTTACATCTAGACTCAGATGAACCCGGAAGTGACCTTGGCATGGCAAAATGAAAAAATTTTAAAATTAAAGCGGCATGCTTATATTTCTTCAATTACTAAGCGTTTTACGTGTCTAAGGTAAGATTAAATACTTTATAATTTATTTATCATTTGTGTGAATTTGGTTGGGTAGACAGGCCAGGAAAGCATTTCCCGCAATTTAGATGCGCGGAGTGTGTATGACGCTAGTATGCAAGAAAATAAGAAAAAATTAATATCCAAATCAGAAAAAATAACAACAAATAACATCATACGAGGGTCAGATTCATATGACTAACCAGATGGAGGCAAATACAGTCCAAATACAGCAAACTTCAACAAATTTTTCACCCAAGACCCCCTGAACGCTTGTTTTTCACTACGCTCAACTCGTGTTCCTCTGGTGGAGTACTACTCATAAAAATAGCACTATGTACGCCCATGAATTATCAGTTTTTCTTTCATTTCAGACTTAGAAAATAGAATTGTAGAGACTGTGATCGGAATAAGATAAACTGATGATCACATTAGTTATAATGACTGATAAAAAGGTGGAAGACATAACAGGTAGATAGAGTTGAGATGGTCCTTCTTTATCAACTGTAATAGGTGAGTGCATGCAAGACACATGTCAATTGCTCAATTATCGCCCAGCTGACTTTAAAAATTTACATACATCATTAAAATTGCAAAAAATCGTTAACAGCGACCTACCATTTATCATCATAAGGATTCATCAAGACATTTTTAACAGGATCTTTACGTTTCTGCTTCCCTGAAATACTGCGGCGAGCTTGTTTATCCGATAAGACGGGGGCCTCCATTTTTCAAACTTTTTCAACCGGAAACCATGAACCGGAAGTAAAGTTTCGCGGCAAAAATAAATATTGCTTTTATATTTTGTGGGTATTTTGTCATCAAGTATTAGACTGGGAAAGTTTATCTTTAAAAGGGTGCAACTTATAAATGCAGCATACGTAATATGTCAAAGAAAAATGGAAATCGAGTTGTGAAAGATCAAAATCAGTGGGTATTCATGCTTCCAGGTAAGAAATCACCATATTATCGCCCACCAATATTTAGTCTAAATTTTAATTGTTAGATCTGTATAGTCATAAGCATAGGCCAAGGGAAAAGTAATAGTAACCTGTATATTCTCTTCTATATACAGCTTACTATTACTTTTCCCTTGGCCTATGGTCATAAGGAGTAACTCACCCCTCCTCTTATTGTCTCTACATTGCCATAGAGAATAGGGTGAGTTACAGTGCTGATATATAATATAAAGGGTGCGTTTTCAAACTAAACAGAGTGCTCCTACCAAAATGAATTTGCCTACATACCCCTTAGACTCTTATCTGATAGATAGAATGCACAAATAAAAAAAAGTTTTGCTATTATAGGTAAAAAGTTCTCTTGAAATTTCGAAGTGATTTTACCTGTTAATTCTGTCCATGGTCCGCCATTTTTGCGGAAGTTACACTGAAACGCAAACTCCATGAAACGAAACGAAATTACTAGAAAAAATGGCACACATTGCGCGCATGTGCAGCATACTTTAAACCAATCAGATTATTTGATTATTTTGCGCACATGAATTATTTGCTTCTGAGCACTTACAATCTTACCACAATGAACAAACCTGGCAGAGACTACCCTTAGCCAACTTCATTTTGGCGAAATTTCAGCTCAAACTTGTGACAAATGCATTATGCATACGCTGGTATGAAGCCTTGGAGACGTACACTCATTTTGGTAAATATGATTTATGGTGTATACTTTTCTGCAGTTTGTGGGAGTTTGAGATATTAAATGTTAAAATTCAAGAAAATATGCCAATTAAACGACTGATCAATTAATATATATCAGCACTGTACTTCCCGTGGATCTACTGAATTCGCTAGAATTTGAAAAATAAGGCTTAACCATTAGAAAGACAAACAGTTCAATTAGTAAAATAAGAATTACCTCATAGATGGTAGGAAACACTCGTAAATGTAACATCATAATTTTGCCAAAAATAGAGCATGAGCGCAATATCAAAGATATGTAAAGTTTCTGTCAAAAACACCGAAAATTCTCTTATTAGTCGTGTAGGAAGGTATACACTGAACACAGTGGTTTGAAGTTGAAAATGTACAAACACTAGCTTTATGGATTACTCTACACATGATCTATGTTGACAAAATAGGGTTACATGTCTCTGACCAAAACTTTAGGATTCACTTTCAATAGACCTTTCTTATAAACCCTGCCACCTTTTGGTACCAGAAAGAAGCTATGGTTAAGACGCATGATAGTTAGATTCATAATATCATAGGTTGTACGTAGCAATCAGTTCAAATAGAAATAACTTATTTTGAAAAAGAAATAACCTATGACACCATTCAAATAAAAATAATTATTTTGAAAAAGAAGAACCTATGACACCGTTCAAATAAAAATAACTTATTTTGAAAAAGAATAACATCCAATACATCATAGCTTCTTTGATATACCAATTGATGGTATGGTCTATTGGATAGGTTTGGTTCTAAACTATGAACATAAAAATGTGAGTAATATTGCTATTATTAAAATATAAGGCACTATTTCAGATGATGTGATCAAGACGGATGGTAATAATGACTCTAAACACGCACTTTGTAAACTGAAACACCCCAAAACAGGTAAATATGCAAACCTTACTAAAAAGATATAATGTAAGGAAATTGTCAAAAATTGGTTTTAAATGGAAACTTTTGATTGCTAATGTAACTAACCTACTTCATCAAACTGCTGAAAAAAGTAAGAACAATACATAATTATTATCTGTAAAGTGAAACAACTTCATAAGTGGAACTCCTCTGTAAAATGAACACCTCTGTTAGTTGAACACCTCGATAAAGTAGAACACCTCTGATTGTATAATTTTTTGCACAGATTTATTTTCTCACTTCTCATTATTCATTTTTAGAGAAATCTGCGTACTATTTGTTCACAAATGAGAACACTGATTCCTATGAGGTTATTGCACTGAAGGAAGACTTTCGTTCATGGTTCATAGGACAGGATGTTGTACAAGGTAAGAACATTTTCAAATACTCGAATTACCATGGGCAACCACACAGCCCACCCCCTTAAGCCAATCCCCACCCCAGGGATATTTGGTGCTTATATTAGGAAAGGGAGGCTTGAGGAAAGAAAAACTATGTATTCTGGTTTCAAGAGCTATAAATTCTGCAAATGAAAAAAGTATGTGGTAAGTTTGGGATTGAACTTGTTTAAAACTTTATTTGTTCTAAATTCGATTAATTTTTTCATGTGTCATGTGAATCATAACATGTCAAAATGTTTATTGTTTTATTTATAGATGGCAGTGTCTACACATGCACACCTGTTGATCCATTGTTCCTTGTGCTTCCATATATGGTCAATGCTTCCAAAGTAAGTCTTAAAGAAAGAAGTACAGTAAAAAGATTAGAAAATATAAGACGTGTTTGATTAAATGAAACAATTGATCAGATAGCCATGTAATGCACGATATAACCATGGGCTTTCAAGAAACACCAGATATATCAAATGGTAAAAAATATCTTCTTTTGATCGATGACATCATATTCATACATTTTATCTACGCAAATAACCTACATTTTTCTAGCTCTATTTTTAAATTATTATTTTTTAGAATGACAAATATATGCAGCTCGACCAAATAGTCCGGGATGAGAATTACCCAGAATGCACAAGGCTTTGCACGTGTAGTCAAGGAAAAGATCTTAAGCTCATTGCTGATATAAAAGGTATGGTCAAAGGCTTAGAGACATTCATATGTATATAATTTGCATTTCTGTAAAAATGTTGATCGAATGCCTGTTTGCTTCATTCCATGCTAAATTTCACAATTTGACTTTTCGATAGAATTTAACTATCTTTTTCATTGGTGGATGTGTATCTATTTTCTTAAATTGTTTTATGTCACCATGGAAGCATCTGATGTCACCAGAATATTTGTAATTGGTTTAACTTCAGAACTTTGTTTTCCTTATTAGGAGATGATGATCTAAAGGTGTACAGATATAACAAAGAGAGAACATTATCCTGGTTAAAAACTAAGGTATTTAAGCAAAAACTAAGGTATTTAAAGATGTAAAAAGTGCCCCGCTTACCCAAAAGTCAAGTTACCATAGTAACCCTTATTTTTGACCAATCAAATTAGAGATGCCAATGTTTTAAGAATCAATCAGAAAGTACTTTTTATACATTGTGTGAAAATTTTATGGGAAAATATCACAAATCTTTGAAATGAGAGCATTTTTCCGTGAACTTATTGAACGACCTGGTATACCCAAGATTAAAAATCTCGAAATGATGCAAAGAATTATACCATAGCATATACCATAACTTCTGACTAATCATACAGTAATTTATCTTTTATGTTCCTGTATGAATATCTTCTGAATATTCTATGAAAGTTTCAACAAAATTTTTTAAGAAGACAAGGCATAAACATGCAAAATGTCATCACAACCTGCCATTTGTTACAGACACTGAACTCTGAGCATCTAGCGCCAACATCTGAACACTGTCCGTAAAAAAGTTGGAGACTATAACTACATGTCACCATAATGCGACCATTTTGATATGAACATATTGAACAACCTTGAATTTTGCATTTCATAAAAAATGCCATACCTTGAAACTGATTGCCTAATAAATTACATAGAGAAACTTACGAGATGACACTCTTTCTTTAGGTAGAAAAAACAAGTAAAATCCTAGAAAAAAAGAAGATCCATGTTACGAGAGGAGCTCAATGTGACACATATGTTCAAGCTACAAACACAGCACAGAAAGGTATAAATAAAACATAGTACAGTAAAATATGTAAAGTGTAACAAATGTTAAGTGGAACACCTCTGTAAGTGGAACACCTCTGTAAGTGGAACACCTCTGTAAGTGGAACACCTCTGTAAGTGGGACTCCTCTTTAAAGTTGAACACCTCTGTAAGTGGAACACCTTGATAAAGTAGAACACCTCTGAAAGTGGAACATCCCTGTAAGTAGAACACAAAGTACAGTTCCATGGCTCAAACTAAATGTTAATTGGAGGAAAACTTTTCAGCCAAACTAAGGGTGTTTCACTTCACAGGGTCTACTGTGACAAAACTTTTTGAATAACCCTTGTATATATGATTTTCAATTGAGATCATTCTATTCAATATCACTGGAGCTTTTGAGAAAATAAGGTTTAAGAAATTGAATCTTTTCATTTTAGAATTCATCTTATGTGTTGCTATTCAATAAAATTATAACACCAAAAATACTAAAAAATACTAATATGGTCATAACATGTAAAACGAAATCTGATTGGATGAGAGTCTTCGCATATTATTGTTCTTTCAGATGATTATATAAGATACGCATATGGACTTATATCAGAATATGTTCATCCGGAATTGGCCAAAGATCTCAAAGATCACCTTGGGTAAGGCAAATTATTTTATTTTAAAAATTCATGAATTTTCAATATGGTTTTACTTGCATTTTAAATTTTCACTTTAAGAGTGCAAACGTCAGTAAGGGTGGTTGGTGATCCCGGGGATTATCTGTAAATTCCATTCATGACAGAAATTGTACACAATATTAAAATAATTCTAACATTCAGTAACATCTCACATAACAATTTGTTGACCTCCATGAGAGAAAATGGAGTTGATGACCTATGAAACTTTGTAAAATTATTGATGTTCAACATTTTCTTTTTCTGTTTTTCAGTATAGTAGATCCTGTAGTGACTCCAGACCCTGAGAAACCCCCACCTTCAAAGGTATGTCCCATGCAAGGCTCAACCTCAAATGCATGTCCCCAATAAGCCACACCCCTAGTGTATGTCCCTAATAACACTCAACCTCAATTGTATGTCCCCAATAAGCCCCACCCTCTAGTGTATGTCCATAATAACACTCACCCTCAGGTGTTAGTTCCCAATAAGGCTCAACCTCAATTGTATGTCCCCAATAAGGTCCACCCTCGCATGTATGTCCCCAATAAGAAATATTATTGACTTATGAGAGCATTTTTATCATTGCATGTAAAAGATATTTCCCAAAAGTCATCCGATACTAAATCGATTTATTTAAAGGCCCCATATAAAGTTTAAACCACTTTGGCTTATATTGTAGTCTTACCCAATGTTATCAAAGTGTGATATGTGAAACTTTTTTTTAAAATTTCGAAAAGTGGTTTTTGATAAACTTTTTGTTCCAAAATTTGTGAATTTATTTAAAACCAACTTTTAGAGGTCACTCATATCTTCTAATTAGCCACAATTCATACCAATGCATAGCATTCATCCTCCCATGTTTTTTGCCGAAAAAATTAAGAAAATCGGTTCATAAATAAGCGAGAAATGAACTTATCAAAGCATGAAAATGGTTCTGAGAAAAATGCATTTAAAAATTTTAGTTCTCATAGAAACCAATGGTACAATGATATCTAAAACATAATTTATTCTTCCTTTTAACCTGGTTAGACAATCAGCATTGGTTTTTTATGAAAGTCTAATATATTTAGAAAAGATTGACATCGAAAAAAAAATTTCAATTTTTTTCAAAAAGTTTTTGGTACCTTAGTGACATCACTAATGTTTCAAAATATTTTTGATATGTTAAAACATTGAAGTGGCCCATTAAATATGGCATTTTATTATTGAAATAGTGTGTCCTTTGTTCAACCTTTGCATTGGTGTTAAAAAGATAATCTTTTTTGAAATGCATTAAGAAATATTTGATGATTAAGAAATTTCAACTTTTTTTGAAAAATGGCGGGAAATTTGAATATTTGAGAAATGAAATGCTCACAACTTTTTTTCAAAAAAAATTTTTTGTTCAAAAATCTCTAAAATCACTTTTTAAGTCCTGACAAATAGTAAATGAATGATAAAAAAATATTTTCAAACTTTAGGGGACTTTAACTGTTCTCACTTTATAGCGAATGGCAAATGAGTCCACAGAACCCAGTTTGACACAATATATTAAAAATACATCACAATAGAGTCCTAATATAGTCATACTGACCAAATATTGCTACGCTGCAATTTTTGTGCTGCATCATTTTAGTAATGGTGCCATATTGCATCATGAAATATGACACATAAACCATGCAGTGTTATAGGCTGTATTCTGCATTTTTTACAAAAATCTATTTATATTGTATTATATTTATATTTCAGAGAGCTAAACTTGATAAGTCAGAACCTGCAGAAGATTACTTCACTGGAAATACAGGGCTGGTCAAGAAGGAGACTAAAGTAAGTGGAATGTTTTGCATTGTGGAAGATTTAAGAATAAGAAATTGAAAGGAAAAAGCAGAATTCACAATAAAGTGAATTATTAATAGTTATAAAACAACAGTACAAAAAATCATGAAAAAATGCTCAGAATTGTGAAAAACTGCATGATTTTGAAAGAAATCCTGGCAAGGGGGGAGTGGCTGCTCCCTCCGCTTTCCCCTGGCTACAGGCCTGCAATACATACACTGCCCAAAATATTTTATATGTTATAACCAAAATGTAATGTATATAAAAGATGATACGAGGAATGTTCAATTTATTTTCAGAAACTGACTCAGGCGCAGAAGAAACTCAGTAAAGTGGACAAGTCCGGAATGAAGTCGATATCAAGTTTCTTTTCACCAAAATCAAAGACTAAGAAATAACAGTTATGGGAATATTTTGGTTTACAATTCACTAAAATCAGATTGCAAAATAAACCTATATGGTCCAATAGATGGCAGTGAGTGTTGTTATGAGAATATAGGATATTTTAATTTCACTTTTTCAAAGTCTTATATTGTTGACATCTTGTGCAGATGAGTATGTCGAACTCCAATGCAGTGTCTCGGTATAGACACTGCGGCGGGCAGATGAAGCAAATCCCCAAAATTTGTGGAAAATAGTTCCCCTTTTCATTGCATATGTGGTCAATTTTCACACAACTTATAAAATATGTATTCATGAATGTTCCCCAAATATTATTTTGTCAAAATATTTCAAAATTATTGAAATATGAGAAGAAATCACCGCGGAAGGAATTCTGAGTAAAAGTTGTGTTGATAATACTTTACCGCACGTGTTGTTTATTAGTTAATACGCGCAATTCAACCAATGAAATTGTCTAAATTTTACAATCACGCGACCTGAGCATGGGACTAGAACCAATCACGTCAGTTGTTTATTACGAAGTTACCATGCTTACGGTGAGATACCTGCCCGCCACAGTGATATATCACTGCACGGGAGTTCGATGAGTATGTCTGGGCGGGTTGGCCATGTTAGCAATCACCACATAAATTTCGTCATCAACATTTGAGGAAAACTGCTTCCCTCTTCAACTTTAAAGTTTTACCAATGCAAGAGCAGACAAGTGCCAATATCTAATTAGCTTTTTGGCAGGCTGAATAAATAACTTGTTGGCCATTTTGAATTTTATGATAAAAAAAGTGTGATAATTATCACCATTTGAAAATTATTTAAAATACTGTCAGATGTCGGTAAAGGTTCAATTGGGCAATCTTGCAGAGAATTGATGAAATAAAGCAAATTAAAAGAAATAAGATTAATGCCATTTAAAATTAATTGTAAATTGTGAATTTAATGTGTGAATTAATTGTATATTTAAAGCATTTTACAGTTGTATTTTCTCAACCAGAATTTATTTTGAGAGAGAATTAGAAGGGGGAGGGGGGGGATATGAGCAGCACATGTATCAATGAAGTTGTTGTTGGTAGCAAATATGCTAAATTGTCTACTTTTACAAAATAATTAATTTTTTTGTGTACCTATTTACTGATGCACAAATAAATAATATGAAAACAAACTTATATACAATTGTATAGTTATGTTTACCATTTATCAAAAGCTCTTTATGGATCATCAGTGCTCCCACTTGAAGTTGAGTGGCTTCTGTAGAAATGTGTCTAGTTTCACTCTTAATAAACCTTAAGTATTCTTGAAGAAGGCAGTTACATCATGATCAACCAACTTACCTTTATTATTAAACAGAAAATGAGGTTTTATTTAATCCATATATTCTCCCCATGATCATTTTCTTAACAAGGTGGAAAGTTCTGTTTACCTATCTTTATAAAGAAATCCATATTGCTCGAAATATGTTCATTATTTCAACTAGATGAAAGACGTTTTGTATTGGATGCAGTGCAATTTTGGAATGGTTTGAGAGGTGTCCTGGTTCACCAGAATAGTCTCATAGATGTCATAATTTACTGGAATGGTCTGATGGATTCTAATGGGTGTCGTAGTTTCCTAGAAATGTCGTGATTTACTTAGATCCAATATGTAACATGCTTTACTGAAATGGTAATAAGATATCACAATTGTACTGAAATGATCCAATAGGTGTCACAATTTACTGGAGTGGTCTAATGGGTGTCATAATTTTCTAGAATGATCCAATAGGTGTCACAATTTACTGGAGTGGTCTAATGGGTGTCATAATTTCCTGGAATGATCCAATAGGTGTCACAATTTACAGGAGTGATCTAATGAGTGTCATAATTTCCTAGAATGATCAAATAGGTGTCACAATTTCCTGGAATGGTCTAATGGGTGTCATAATCTACTTGAGTGATCAAATAGGTGTCACAATTTAATGGAGTGACCTAATGGGTGTCATAATTTACTGGAATGATCAAATAGGAGTCACAATTTACTGGAGTGGTCTACAGGTCTAATGGTTATCACACTTATTCGGAATGATCCAATAGATGTCACAATTTATTGGAATGATCCAACAGGTGTCATAATTTATTGGATTTATCTAATAGGTGCCATGCTCTACTGAAAGGTCACACTGTTAAAAAATTAAAACAAAACAAAGTATATATTTATATTTGTTATAACTTATTTATTATTTCTTGAATGTAAAATATTTAACAGTCAATTCTCAAATTTTTAAACATGAGCATGTAGCCTCATTATAAATGTTATACTGTTACGTGTTTTTTACACATAATAAAAAATCACAAACGATTTTTCACAATTCCTCTGTTTAACAAAAATAAATTGCAATCCTACGTATATTTCATTTTTTCCCTTTACCAATTTTTTAATACTGCAAACAATATGTTTGACAACCACTATTGAGAGGCAAAATCTCAATCAAAGCGATCTTGTGAATAAATGTATATGAATCTCTCTTTTAGATGCAGAGATATTCATTCTTTTTCAAACTGATCTCAAAATTGCAAAAAGTCTTGAAGGGTATAGTAGAATTAACGGACCTCACATATTTCTTTCCTTTTCCCCATATAATTTCATGTTTTCTCATATTTTTCTCATGCATGTTTCTCAAGGGGGGCAAACGAATATCAATTCAAACATTTTCTTCAATGATTTCCCAATGATGATAATATGAGTATAACTAAAATGTATTAATAACAGAGAACAATCACCAAAACAAACAAGAATTAGAGATACATCAAACCCCTATAAACCATCTTCGCCCACAGATACAATGTTGAGGATGGGGATGAGATTTTATGCAAACAAACAAAAATACTGATATGATAATATCCTTGTTAAATACATCACATAGGTCACTCATATTCTTTAAGTATTACATGTTTCAGTACATCATAAAGTTACAAAGGGGCTCCCCTTGGAGTTCAACATTTTTGAACAAATGAAACGCACTGCTCTGTAGCAAGGAATTATGAGATATAGCTAAGAAAATACAAAGAACATTATAACAGTTTGACATCAATTCATAAACTGTTTGATACAGAGAATGGAAGTTATTAATTCCAGGACTAATATACACCCTACATTGTAGTTTGTATTAGCTACATTGTAGTTTGTATTAGCTACATTGTAGTTTGTATTAAAGTGTTGTAATTCATATTTGGCTATGTTGTGTAGTTTGTATTAGCTACATTGTAGTTTGTATTAACTACACTGTAGTTTGTATTAAGTTACAGTGTAGTTTGTAGTGATGCTTTATTACATGGTGAGACACCAGCTCACCAGTCTTGTACAGCATACAGCAAAACCTCTGTTAAGGAATAACCCTGGGGTCTATGAACTAAACATGTATTCACCCTAGAGTCCCATACCTCATTTTTAGAGAGTCCCATATTTTTTCATATTTAGAGAGTCCCATGTTTTCCATATTTAGAGAGTCTCATATTTTCCATATTTAGAAAGTCCCATATTTCATATTTAGAGACTCCCATATATTCCATATTTCATGGTCTGTTAACTCTTTGAAGACTAGAACATTTCACTGGATTGGCAATTACTATTATCTGCCATGTCCCAAAAATAGTGTGTTTTGAATGAGTATACTCATTGGCATATACCAGGGAAGGGCCAATTTTGTAAGTAGACTGGAGAGAGTAAAATCCAAGAAAATAGGCCATTTTAGAGATCGTTCACACAACACAGGTTTTGCTATATATTGTACAGAGCATATATATACATTGTATATAATCTATGCATTGAATATACTTTATACATAAGATGGGTAATATTTACATTTATACACCTATACAAATCAATGTTCAACGAAAAAGTTTCATGTTTAATTTTTTCAATTGAATACAGTGTGAAATACTTCGTCTGATATGGGCTTTGTTCGTAAAAGCATCTTTTCAAGAGTACTTTGAATAGAACACTTTGCAAAACTCAAAAAACATATTCGAATGTCAAGTTCAATTATAGAAATTCCTGTCTCCATTCCCAATAAATATGATCATCCCTCTCATTTGACTTAAGCGATGAAGAGATTTTCTGATAATTTGGAGCGTCGTGTTAACGACATGCCTATTTACTGAATTCCTTAACGATAGTGCTTTGTTCATAAAAATTCAAACAAATCATCCTGGTCTAATATTTTGAAAATTTATTAAAAAATTTTATCTTTAGATTCAATGTCAATATTGAAATATTTTGCAAGGGCGATCAATCATCACTTTTGAGATATCGCACATCCCTGGGGATTCTCAAGTTCTAGTTTTTATGAACAATGACAGGTGTAAAGAAGAAAAACATAATGAACAATTTAGTGAAGAATGTTACTTTGAATGACACTATGAAAATACAAAGTCTAACATCAGTTATAACGACACAACTGTTAGTAACAGCATTCAAAAGAAATCCCGCAAAAATATGTCTCATTGAATTTATTAAAAATATGAAAGAATTTTATGATCACGTTAGATGTATTAAAAAGAATTTTCGTTGACGGCCTCGATTTTGATTTCTCTTGTCAATTTTGAGAATGGATCGTCTTATTGATATTTCATTTATTGGAAAGAATGGAGATAGAAATGAGGAATACAGTAAACAGACATGAAATCAACCCGCTTAATTTCTAGAATATCATAGTCAGTGAAATTTGAATGAAATTGCATGAATAAATTCTGACCTCTGTAACAAATTATTCAAATGAGCTTTGCGTGTGTCTATATACACAAAGCACCCATTATCTTTAAGAAATTCATTTCATCATTTTTTTATGAAACTCCAAAGCACCAAAATTATACATACATCCTTTAAATTTAATAATTTTCCAGTATCTATTTACATTCATAAGTTGAGCGTTTTTTACATCCAGTATGGTAATATATACACACACACCCAGGGTCAGTGTCAAATTTCTTTCTGGCTTTTCTGTTACTCAAATGCAAAACAAAATAACATGTTGGCATGGTAACTCATAAATATCATAACTCCAACTTTCTCAGCTGGAATCTTGCAACTATCTGGCACACAGGGGTCTCATTAGCAGATGGCAATTTGGGATTTTTTCCGATTTTTTCTGGTTTATTTCCAAAAATTACCAGTTGTTTTGAGGAAATTTTGCAATGTTTTCATGTTAAAATCACAATTTCCAATAATTTTGCATGTTGTTAAAATTAGTTCTGCCTGAAATCAATTATTCTTATGAAACCCCTGGATATGTACAGAGGGGGTCTAACCACTGTCCCAGAATTCCTAATATCTTATATTGATAGACTCCCATCATCCCCTTGAACACTTACATCCAATAATAGGCAACAAGAATCACATTCAATTACATAGGCATCTGCATTCATTTTTTCTTGGATATCTGATTCTGATTTTGAACCGAAACCTCAGATCGACCTTCTACTCAAATGCTGTACTTTAATTGAAAATCAAGGTAAGCAGAGAACAATGAATAAGATCCCTTTATGTATAACTATGCAGTTCTAAAATCACACAATTAGTCCCACCTTAAACATGTGATGGGGTGAACTATTTGATTGTGGATTCTTATTGCCCATTGCTTAAAATATAAATACTTCAGCCCTTTATCCATTTGGCATTGTAACCGATGCCTCACAAATCAATGTTAATGTTCAAAAATTCAATTTCAGTCCATCATTCAGCCTCAAATATCCACTCATTGATTTGTCCACAGAATGATGGACTGAATTTTGAATTTGACAATTCCAACAGCTTTGTACACCGTGAGTAGCACATCTCGAGTGCAATTATCCTTACTCAACATGTGTAACATATACAGTATATTATAGTCTCCATGGTTACCATGTATACAATGTTGTGTAATACTGTTGCTATGGAAATTAAATAGATATTGTGTTATTGCAGAATAAACCCCATGTTGCTATGTAGCTAATGTTATGATAGCACGTGTATTGTGCAAGTTTTTTTGATGACACTACATTGCATCATTTTCCCTCTTCAGCAGCTTAACAAGGCCAAACTAGGCCTATTATGAACCAGTACTGGGCCGGGAAGGCCCTGTTGAATCAAACTCTTGTTGAGTTAGAGTGGGCCACAGTTGTTTTGTGATGTCACAGTTCCATCACAGTGTCATAACTTGAATGTCTGACATCTTTCACTGGGGGTAAGATGCAACACTTCCAGTGTGAATTGCATGACATTGCCTATGATGTCACAAATATTCTGTGACATCATGGTATTGATGTCATGACACATGTAGCTGAACCATGATCCAATCAAGTGACTCCACCTGTGGAGAAATAGCCCAACAACTTTGGTTTGTTGCTACGGGATGCTGCATCATCGTCATGGCAACAACAATGAAAGCACAACCCTTGTTGCTATGTGCATTACTATAACAACAACAAAATCCATGATGCTATGAGGTTGACGTCGGGGGATGATTCGCCTGCTGTTTTAGTTTAGTTAATGTTTCTGGCGTCGCACTCGACCTCAAAAGTGCATTCTCATGCTCTAATTGGCTGTTCTTTTCCATAAGTTCTTTGATTTGTTCCCGGAGAACGTCAACTTCTTCCTTTACAGCGAACATAAGATGACTCTTGACCAAGTCCTGAAATAACAAAATAATAAATTTAAATGTCTGTGTGATTTCTGTTTTATAGTACTGAGAGAGACATGAGCTCAGATAATGCCTATGTCACTTGGCTCTAAAATATAACATATAACACTACGTCCTTTTATTACAGGAAAAGAAATTAGATAATCTATACACAAATCTTCTCATTTAATACATGTTATTATATATATTTTTACCATTTCATGGGCTCATTCAAGAGGGTCTGAAAAAGATAAAGACATTAGAAGTCAAAGTCGTTACTTTCAGAAAATGTCTGAAACTGATTCACCGGTACCGTTGGGACCTATATTATCATGTACCATGTATCTAGACATCTATAATATTCTAAAATATAGAATGTCAAAATGAAACTTATGCAATATTTATGCCTCACATGCCGAAATGTGTGATCCTGGGTACACCTAGAAATCAATGCTGTGATAAGTCAATATAATAACAAGTCAACATAATAACAAGTCAATAAAATTACATGTAAATAAGGAACAGGTCAATATTAAGATGTCAATATTAGAAAAAGTCAATAATACATTTATGTAACACATATACAGTAAAACCTGTTTATGTGAACACTTCCTTTATATGAACACCTCAAAATGCAAACACCTCTAAATATGAACACTTTTCAGACCATTTAGAAATGAGTCATAGAAAAAACAATTATAAAATGAATATGTACTAACACACTGTTCTTGTATTAGGCGGGTATAGTCGCCATTTTCCATCGAGTCATGACGGACCCTGCACGTATTCAACTGAAACGACAGGTCCATCCCTGGAGATTCGTAAGTCAGATTCTTTCCCGGAGACTCCATTCTATTTATACTCAACATCTCACTTTCTCCCAGGGGTATTTTCCGGAGTTTTTTCGTGATTCTTTCAGTGATTATACACAATGTTTTCGAGAAACATTTTTAATGATTCTCTCCGTCGGTAATGGATAAGTCTATTTTTTCAGATATTTTAATGTTAGATGTCTTCCGTTATTTCACTATTTTCCAGGGAATATTTAATGTGACTTCCTTCAGGGAATTCCCTATGCAATATCGATGTAGGATACAGTGTTTTCCCAGGACTATTTTTAATGTTATTTTCCTCTAGCCCTTAATTAAGACACCAGGCACTAGTCTAATGTTATTTTCTGCGACACAATATTCGCCCTTGAATTTGTCCTCGTTGGTCTTTGAGTTGTTTCTTATGTCAGAATATTAAACCATGATTTCAATCAGTTTTTTATTTCCTCGATTTGAGCAAGTTCAGCTCAGCCCAGTCCTAAACATAGAAAATAATATATATTATATCTGGTTGCTATCATGCCTTATAATCTTATTATTCTGATGTGTTTATATATTACAAGATGTCTGATTATTATTCATAATCTGATTAAACCTTCCGCTGATTAACCTTCTACACGAATATAATCCTTGTTTATATCTGGCTATTCCTACACAGTGCAAAACCTACTTACTTTTGATTAAGCTTTTCTTATTTTGTGTTTATAAACTGATATGTATGCCATAAGTCATTCAACAAAGCCATTCATATGTTTTTTAGCTGTTTTTTGTAATCAGATCAATGCTCTAGGGTGTCCTTAAAAAGAGGTTATGTCTATAAACGGAAAAAGTGATGCATAAAATGCTAAAGATTCTTTGCCAGGATAACCTCTATTGTCTACTTTTACGATCATAACTTAAACATACACCATTTCCAATACATATCTTTGTAAAGAATAATCAGCAGATATTATATATTTAAAATAATTCTACTTAGAATATCTGTTATTCCATCTCTGCCACACATATGTCGGCTGTCTATCTGAATACTTAATGCTGAACTGTTCCAGACTAAATATAGGTACAAATGACCTCGTGATATTTTCAAAAAGTTCTCCACTTGAAAAATGATATCACCTGCTATAAAAGATGAAGCTGAATCTACCTGTCTTGCCATCTATGATTTTTGGCTATCAAGGTTAAGTTTAAAAAGCTAGCAAAAAATCGCACATTTGATTCTTCAAAAATTTTCTAGAAAAAAGTCCTTTTCTGTTTTATATTCAGTTTTTCAGCTATCATCTATAGAAGCTGTTCTATGTTTAACTCCCTCTAAGAATAACTTAATTGCAAGATAAAAATTTAAAAATCTGATTCCTAATCTGCCATATCCTTATTACACTTACGTCAATTCTGCTGAGTTTGTTTACAAACTGTGAAGTGATCAACTTTCTGCTAATAACGTAAGTTTAAGTGAAACAAGCAGTTGTTAACATCTGCTCAACAAATAGCTCTGATTTTTTGAGATGTGCTCAACTCTCTGCTCAAATGTTAGTTTAAGTGAAACAAACATTGACAGATTTTTTTAAAAAGTCCCTCATCATTTGAAAAATAATACCTAATCTGCCACCTTGCACTTACGTCGATTCTTCTATCTATTTACGAACTGTGATCAACTCTCTGCTAACGCTAGTTTAAGCAGACAAATAATTGTTTACATCTGCTCCACAAATTGATAGATTCTTAAAAAATCCTTCAGCTGAAAAATAATTCCTAATCAGCCACCTTAGACTTACATTAATTCTTCGATATACTCGTATATATGTTCTATTAATTGCTCCATTTTTTAAAACTCCTTCTTCAGTCGAAAAATAATTCCTAATCAGGTCTAATAAGCAACCTTAAACATACATTCATTTTTCGATATATTTACAAACTGTGGTATACTCCTATATCTGTTCTATTAATCGTTTGATTTTTAAAAACTCCATCTTCAGTAGAAAACCTGCCTTACACTCAGGTCGATTCTGCTATCTATTTACAAACTCAAACTGTGTTGTACTCAATTCTGGCTATTGAGGTTAAAATGGAAAAAATACGCAACTGCTCTCATCTGCTCCAATACATGGTCTGGCCTGGTGGTAGCAGCTACTGCAGAACTCACAACTCTGCTGAGTGAATGTTTATTTATGATCCAGCAGAGCTTAATTTGAAGCTTTACCACTCAGGTAGCCAGAATAATCTATATTGTTTATTCAATGATAAATTACCTGTGATGTGCTACTTTAAGTTTGGATGTACTGCCAAATGAAAAGAGTTTACTTGTTTTCTTTATGATGTTGTCTTGAATATTCATCAATATCTGTCCATATTAATAATATAATACAATTTGAGAAAAGTTAAGATGCTTCGTCATTTGTTATAATTTTTCAGTCTTGTGTAGTAGAATATTTCTCCCGTCTTGTACTATTTCCTTCTTCGTAGCAACTAAATATGAACAACTGACAACATCCGTGTGCATATGTATAGAAAACATACATGCAAATATTCAAAATAATCCTTTATATGACCTCTTCATAATCTATAATAATCAACATAGGAATGTCTACAGCCGATAAGGCTGAGCTTGAAAATAAAAATACTTTGTAGAAACTGGAGGTTATCTCTTCAAAGGCACACGGTCGATGTGCATGTATAAATGATGATAATTCATTCATTTATAATACAATAGATCTGATTTGTTCGTCTAGTGATCATGTGACTTATCTTATCATCAGACTCGTATTAATAAAAATTCATCAAATCTAAACATAATTGGGGGCACTCGAAGATAAATGATATCCCGATTTAGCTGACGGCTGGATTAATTATATTTGGATGAATCCAGTTGTTTTCAATTCTACATCTTGTGTCAGTGACCTTTCTAATGTCACCAGCAACTTGTTGGATAAATCCAGTTGTTTTCGATTCTACATTTGTGTTAATGACCTGACAACTATCTGATAAAAGCCTGAGCATTACTGATCCAGAAATGACTGTTACAGACAACACAATGACATGAAGACTGACATCAAACACGATGTCATGAATACTGACATCTAATCAATAATTCCAATAGAATATGAAACAACTAATGGTGCGTAATAACATAATGATTCTAGGTACACAGATGCAGATAACAACTTTCTGAGCAGCATGACCTCGATATTCCAATCTGCTATATTATTGTTTTGGTCTTTCTCTTCAAATCAATAATCTAATTTACGAACTCTATCCTTGACTTAAGGTCAAAGTGAACTCAGTGTCTGGGAAGATGATTATTTAGGATAAATTGAGGTAACCTGAACTGATCTTGAGTCCTGACCTTTGTTATAGGGTTTGTTTACAAATATAAATCCAATTCTACCATTTATCTTTCCTTTTGCCTGATAAGTCCAAGAGAATACATATATCCATTCAAAATGATCTAAGGATCTAGACTAGATCAAATTTCATTGACATTGTAGATCATATCCTAACCTTGACTGACCTCCAGCTTTCATATACTATAATAGAGCTTGTTTATAAATGTATCCTTTGCATTTATATCCTGCTTTACTCTGATATATCTAAATGTGAGAAAGGGGATCTTTTGAACCCATAATTGTACTGCCTGATAGTCCCTAAAGGAAACATAGATCATTCCAGTTAGATCTACTAAGATATAGACTAGATCTAATCCCACTGACCTTAACTGAACTTCAAAGTTTTCTTTAAAAATAATGCCCACTACTTGTTTATATTCTTCAGGATAAGTTCTAGAGGGTAAAGATAGCATCATACTAGATCAGAGCTTTCAAACAGACCCTCAATCTTGTTAAGCAGAGATAGTCTGTGTAGCAGAATGATTAGATCTAGAGATGCCAGATACAAGATCAAATCCTGACCTTAGGTGATTATCTTGAGATAATCACATGCAAATACATGTATAGGGATATAAGATATCAATGCATTTTTTATCCCATACTTGGACATGTTAAAGGTACATAAATGTGAATGAATATCCTGAAAGAATAGTAAAATCCAGCTATGGCCAAGAATACAAAACTAGTCATGAATCATTCTAAAATAGTTCTATCGGGCAGATATGTTATATTGGCCTCGGGATAATCCCAATATCCTGAACCTCATATAGGAAAATCTCTATGTATCCTTCCCTCATTTTAC